CATGCAGAAGGATCTTGACTGCAGCAGGAGAATTAATGCAGAGAGAAGCAAATTTATAGAGCTAGCGTCCTGCTGAGTTCTAGTCCCTGGTTCCAGCTGTCCCCGAGGCCCAGCTGTTCTCCTGTATCCTCCACGGCTGTGTGACCTGCTGTGTTTGTTTATCTAATACGTTCTCTCTTTTTTTTTGCCTGTTAGCTATGTTCCTGTCATTTGTAATAAAAGCATCCCTAATAGTCCAGCATTGTGTGTCATGAGCTGTGCTGCTCCTAGGGGGCATGCAGAGGTGTGTAGACTAGGATCTGTACCCTTCAAAGAACTTACAGTTTTGTGTGTCAACTACAATACGGGGTGGAAAGTTATAAATGTTGCAAGAGGCCTCAAAACCTGTAAGAAAGCAAAGGTGGGAGAAATCACTTCTACTGGGAGGGCTTAGGGACAACTTCGTGTCTGAGATGGCTTTTGAACTTGCCTCGAAGGTAAGATTAAAATTTGCTCATGTGGCCATGAAGGAGAGAAGGCCCTCAAGACAGAGAAAAGAACAGGAGCAAAGATTTAGCAGCAGCCAACGTGGGGTATGTGTGGGAAACAGCCATGCCTAGCACGTCAAAGCATTTAGCGGCAGTGGGGAAACATGAAGATTTTTAAGCAAGACAGGAATGTGGTCTTTGGAATAATAAATCCAACAGTGGGTTGGAATGGAAGAGATGATGGACTCATGCAGCTAGGAGGTTATTTCAGTGTGCCAAGTGGAAAATAATAAATGCTCTTTTAAAAAAATTTTTAAATTTATTTATTTAGCTGCTCCAGGTCTTTAGTTGCAGGACGTGGGACCTTCATTGCAGCATGCGGGATCTAGTTCCCTGACCCCCTGTATTGGGAGCCCGGAGTCTTATCCACTGGACCACCAGGGAAGTCCCTAATAAATGTTCTAATGAGGAGAAGGCCAATAGGGAGTGGGGGACAATGAGGAAACTCCTCACTTCAGGTAATCACAATATTTTCAGTGCAGAAGGGCATCTGAAGAGCAGGGGACAGGTATGGGCCGGTGGCTCATGGAATGAAGTAAAGGCATGAGGAGTGAATAAGGGTTGCAAAGGGTCACTGACATCTTCCTCCAGGCTAAGTAATAAGAAGTAGAAGAAAAACCAGGAACCAGCCTGCTTGGTGGTGGCCTCACAGCAGAGGAAAGAAAGTGGAAGGTGCAGGCTCCCCATAGCAGGGACCTCACGAGGTTTGTGAAAGAGAAACGCAAAAGAATCAAAGAACAGGAGTGCGGAGGGAGAACCCTGTAGAAATGGTGGAGGCTGGGAACTGCTCACCCCGGGGGATCCCGTAGCTCAGAAGTGGGAAGTCTCCAGCCTGGGTGGGGATGCAAGGAAAGCCAGCAGGACACTCAGAAGACAGTGAGAGGGGCTGAGTAGGACGGAGGGAATGTAAGATCCTGCCGAGCTGAAAGGAGAATGTCAGGGCTCCAGGATATGGGCCGGAGCGATCCTGTATGATTGTCTGCTTGTGTCTTGAAGACATAAAAGCAGTGGAGATAAAGGTCTCTAGCCCCGGGGACGCTGAAGATCTGTAAGAAAAGGGTATCTATGGATGTTTCCAGAATGGGGAGGAACAAGAGACAACTCCCTACAGAGTGGGAGGCAGGAAGAAGGACTGGGAAAGGTGAGGAAATGGAACGGCGGCGTGGATTTCCTTAGAGGCTGCTGAGAGTTCGTGATGCACAAAATAGTCAGGAAAAGGAACTGGGGATTGAGGAATCAGGAGACGCATGTCAGTTTGGAATGGGGAGGGTGGGGAAGGGAGGTATGTGTGTGGAATGCTGTGCAAAGAGAGGAGGAAAGTATCCTCCTGCAGATAAAGTCAGATTTTGATGAAAGTGAGGGGATGAAACGAGCATTCGAAGCAAAGATTAAGGATATCAGATGGTTTATTTCCAAGAGATGGCTGGTTGCCCCAGGGGCCCAGAGGAGAGCTCAGACTGAGCAGCAGAGGACAAGAATGCAGGGAAAAAGATGAGCACGGCTGATAATTTTTTATAGTAAGTTTAATGAAGTGAGAGGTAGCTCAAGACTCACGTTAATGATAAAGAGGCAGACATAGGAAGGAGTGGGGGAGGGGAGCTGGATGAAGAGCGTCAAAAGGTACAAACTTCTAGTTACAAGGTAAATAAGTTAAGTACTAGGGATGTGATGCACAACATGATAAATATAACTAGTCCTGCCGTACGCTATGTATGAAAGCTAAACCCTAAGAGTGCTCATCACAAGGAAAACAAAATTTCTACTTCTTTAACTTCACATCTATATGAGATGATGCACGTTCACTAAATTTACTACGATAATCGCTTCATGATGTAAGTCAAATCGTTATGCTGTACACCTTAAACTTATACAGTGCTGTGTGTCAATTACATCTCAATAAAACTAGAAGTGAAAAAAGAAATCAATTTTTTTTTAAACTCATAAAAATCATATTTTTTTTAAAAAGAAGCAGATGTAGGAAGATAGGTTCTCCCAAAAATTCTTTTAAAAAGACTGTTTTCACGAGTATGGACACATTCCACCCCTGCCATGCTTGAGCCCTTTATTGGCTTGGAAAATCACGTGTGTGTGCATACGCAGGTATGTGCATACGTGTACATGTGTGTGCATGCAAGATAACGAGAGCTCACCAGACCTTTGCTGTGTTTGGAGATAAGGGACCTGTGTCCCCCCGCTTTTGATCACTGCAGTAGACAGATGAGCATAAAAGATTCCAGAGCAAATAGATGTTTCCCTGACTCTCTTCTTCAGTTTTGTAGCAAAAAAAAAAAAAAAAGGAATGCCAGGGCTGAAAGTGGAAGCAAAGGTTATCTAGGGCTACCTTCTGAGATAAGCCCATTTTCCCTTAATGGCCTGTCTTTCCCAAAGCCTCATGATCTGAAGATTATCACCCCTTTTGTCTTCTCCCAGCAGCATGGATGTAAACTAACCCTGCTCCACTCATTTTGAAACGCCCATGGCAATGCTCTGGGGAGGCTCCAGCTCCCGTGTCCCAGATGCAGGGAACCTGCTGGGTGAGGGTAGAGTCCTACATACAGGGAATTAGGTGTGGGTTCCAGAGCTATGCCCAGGGTCCACAAAGCACTCTTCCGATCCCTCCTAGCATCTGCCACCTGTGTCACTAATGGGGTGGCAACACAGTGCAATGCTCAGGCTCCCCAGCTTTATCCCCCGTTGACTATGACCTCTGGCAAGGTTTGACTTCTCAGAGCCTTGCTCTCCTCACCTGGACCGCAGTCATCATGGTCGTCTACCTCATTTGTGATGACTAATGGACATGGAATACCTACTTAGCACAGTGCCTAGGAGGAGTCAGCAGGTTGTTGTTATTATTATTATGGATGCAATAAACTTTCAGGGGGAAGCAGGAGGCATGGCGAGCATGGTGTACCCCATCCTTGAGTAGTACAAGGACAGGCATGTAGACCAGGAGCAAAGTGCCTAAAGCCGGAAGAGCCCAAGTCCACGGAGAGGATGAGAAGTCCTACAAACCCAGAGGGGCAGAGGACAAAGTGTTCAGGTGTGCCCTGGGTGGTTCTGTGTTTCTATAACAAGGTCCCCCGGGGCCTCAGTACTCAGAGGGTTGTGTGGACTGGAGCACTGGTGTCCCCTGGAAGCTGGTTAGAAATACTGACTGTCAGGCCCCACCCCCAGCCGCAGGAAGCAGCAGCTGCATTTTTTTTTTTTTTTTTTTTTGCGGTACACGGGCCTCTCACTGTTGTGGCCTCTCCCATTGTGGAGCACAGGCTCCAGAGGCGCAGGCTCAGCGGCCATGGCTCACGGGCCCAGCCGCTCCGCGGCATGTGGGATCCTCCCGGACCGGGGCACGAACCCGTGTCCCCTGCATCGGCAGGCGGACTCCCAACCACTGCGCCACCAGGGAAGCCCCGCATCTGCATTTTTAACAAGATGTTTGGGTGATTCGTGCGCACTTTGGAGTTCAGAACTGAGGGACTCTACTGGCTCCACTTATTAACCACAGCACAACCTTCCCACGAAGGTGGGTGAACTCACAGCCTCACACTGCTTCTGGGCTGGGGTGCCTGAGAGAAGATGCTGGTCGAAGAAGAAACTAGAAGAAACTGCCCCCTACTCAAATACCTCTCAGTGGCTCCTCTCCAGGAAGATCATTAATATGGAAAAAGGTGGGACAGACCCTTTGGAACACTCAGTAGTGCCTGGTGAGCTGAGGCATTGAAATACGTTACAAATTAATGTAGTGGCAAGATTAAAAGCACCACAGCCTAGGTCAGCCTCCAGAGGCTGTTTGCAAAGTGCCTAAAGCCTTATTCCTGTGTGTGTGTGTGTGTGTGTGTGTGTGTGTGTTGTAAACAGTCCTCTCCACTATACACACGGTGAGGAGAAAGGTGTGCTTTCTTTCATAAACAGAAACACTGTGCCTGTGTACAAGGAAATAGCAATACTATTGGATTAAGACATCTTCTGAGGGTACAGAAACCTCTCTCTCCAAAGTTTTTCTTTGCTGTGAGGTATAACCGGTCTCTGAATCCAGCTTTCTCTTTCTCACTGCCCTGTTCACAAGAGTTATTCTTTCTGTTGTTATTTTTTAACAGAGAACCTAAGTTTCCAGTTGACAGAGTCCGGGAATCAGCCCCTTCACTGAACATTGCACAAGCGACACAGACCTCTGGCTGTCCCCATAAACAAACAGGGCAAGGGGACACCAGAGTGTCCCAGCAGCAGTGCTACCCCAGCCCGGTCCCTCCCCAGCGCCCCTGCAAGGCACGAGGCCCTTCCTAAGGGTCCTCCTCCAGGGAGCGGTCCTGGTGGGACCCGGTGGGACCCCTGAGCCTGGGGCCAGCCCTGTGTGCTGTCAGCAGAGGCCCCATCCATCAGCATTCCTCTGGGATCTGTCCTGTTTTAGTCAGGAATGTCCCTCAGATAAAGAACCCAGCGGAATGCAGGCCCTCAATCAAAGTGACCCAAGGACAGCGGGTCTTTATCATGCACTGGGCAAGGGCAGGCAGCCACTCAGTGTGAAACCCCGAAACAAGGATGACACTGACTCAGGGAACTGAATCGCAGGAAAAGAGGGTGCCACTGGTGCTTCCTCCAGCACACCTTTGACCTGGAGCTGCAAACACCCACTTCTTTCCCGGCCTAGCTCCTCCCCTTGACCCTGGGGACTGCAGATTACTTAACAGTTATATTTAGCAAGCCCATGGAAGGGACTAGCCTTCCAGCCAACGAGTCCTCTTCCTTCAGAGATCAGGATTCTTTTGTCTTCTCCCTTCCCCTCCCCTCCGATTCCTTCCTTCCGGCAGCTGACTCTTAACCCCTTCGTGGCTTGAGGGTTCGCCTGCAGGCCTCACCCTTAGGCAGAACAGACTATGAGAGGTGCCACCCAAGTGCCCTGGGACCCAAACTCCTGCCTCGGCAGCCTGAAACTCTGCTCCACAAATCTCTCTTGGAGCCTGAATATTTTTTATCATCTGGTGTTTCCTCATAAGATTATGCAAGTACCCTTGGGAAGGGAAATGACTTAAGCTTTTCTTGTATCGGCTCACAGACTCTGAAGAATGGGCACAGGTCAAGGCTTTGGAGGAGAGAAGGTGGACTGGAGACCAAGAAAGCCGACTTCTGGTGAAAAGAAAAAGATTGATGATTCCCCCCAATTCACTAGCATGGAGCGAAGGAGTGAAAAAAGAAAAGCATAAATCCACAAGGACCAACTCAATGGAGGAGAACTCATTGGCGAGAGTACGTGACTTTGCCTCAGCTGTGAATAAAATGAAAGGTCACCAGAACGGAAACCCTAAATGTGGATTTAACCAAAATTTGTGCGTGGGCTGAGGGGGGCTGCTGGGTGTGTGGAAGGCAGGGCAGAGGAAGAGCCCTAGCTCCTGCTGTTCCGCTTGAAAGGCGATAGGCAATATCTAAAGCCGAAAGCTCAATAGCGGGCTAGGCTTAGATTTTAAAAATACGGAGTAAATACCAGAAAAAACAACTGAAAAGTAGAGGCATCAGAAGTGCAGAGGGCGACAGCAGGGATTCTTGCTTTTCCTTCCGATTCCCTCAGTATTTAGTTTTTCAACAATTGAACGTGCTTTTACAATACACATAAAATTCAATGTTTTTCAAAATGAGAGAAATAAGAAGGAATAAAAGAGAAATGCCTCTGATTTCAGGTTTCTCCCCGGGGCTGGGTCAGCGGGGTTGTTCTGACGCTGGAGCCATTCAGAGGCTGACTTGGTTGAATTCTCTCCACCGCACCCTTGGGAGGGGATCAGGGAGCCCTGCCAGTGTTTTCCTGAAGAAATGTGACGGACAAGACAGAATTCTGCTTTCTTCCGGTTTGGTTTGCAAGAGGGCGAACCAGGGGTGAATTTATAGGCTGCAGATCGGGGGGGGGGGGGGGGAAGGGGGGGGGGAGGGGGAAAAGGCTAATTCTGAAGGAAGGATTTGTATCTCCTTTGCTTCCCAGGGGTTTCCGTTTTCCGTGTTCGCGGACTCACACACACACCAGATGGACTTGGCCTTGCTGTCTACACGTGAGGGCTCAGCCGACACCTGGAGCGGGCGCCCGGCCGGCATCGGTGCGGGTAACAGCTCCGTCCGCAGCCCAGCGAGGACCCAGCACGCCACTTTCCTTGGCGGATGCGGATCCCCGGCCCGGGTGGGTGAACCAGCCTTTGACCTGCAAACCCAGCTCCCCCGTTTGACCTGCGCAGTCCCCTGTAACATGCTTAAAAGTGCCATAAAACCCAGGACCTGGCTGCTAGGATCCCCAAACGATAACTCAGAGGCCCCCATCCCTCAGGGTCATCGTACCCACCTGGCTGGCAAGATGCTTAGCAGAGAAACAAGTTGAAACACTCTGTGTGGGCAGACCTTGCAAAATGTGCTCAATGAGAATAAAATACATAAGATGGTATGAACCACTTGGGAAAGCCCCTGACACACAGTCAGCATTCATATAAAACATCAGTTATTACTCTGATCATAACCACTATCACCTACTTTGCCCAGGAAATGTGCTAGAAACAGATAAATTTACACTCTAGTCTCTTACCACAAAAGGCCTTTCATTTCTTAATTAAAAAACAGTTTAGGGGCTTCCCTGGTGGCGCAGTGGTTGAGAGTCCGCCTGCCGATGCAGGGGACGCGGGTTTGTGCCCCGGTCCGGGAAGATCCCACATGCCGCGGAGCGGCTGGGCCTGTGAGCCATGGCCGCTGAGCCTGCGCGTCCGGACAGGCTCCACAACGGGAGAGGTCGCAGCAGTGACAGGCCCGCGCACCGCAAAAAAAAAAAAATTAATAAATCCATTGTTTGATGATAAACAAATCCCTGGATTCCAGAGGTTTCAGCTTTGTAATGTTGTATGTAAAGCAAAACAGCCAATCCTGCCCAAGCAAACTGTAACCTCCCACCCTCTCTATCTTTGTCCTAAGAAAGGCAGCTGGGAATTCCCTGGCGGTCCACTGATTAGGACTCCACACTTTCACTGCCGGGGCTTCAGGCCTGAGTTTGATCCCTGGCCTGGGAACTAAGATCTTGCAAGCTGCGGGGCACAGCCAAAAAAACAGAAAAGAAAAAAAAAACACAGTTAACTAGACTATCTAATATTCTGCTGAGTGAACCTGTCACAATTTTTGTAACCATTCCCCAAGTGCTGGATATTTGATTGTTTCTTACTTTTCATTACTTATGATGCTGGCTGAGCATTTTTATTCAAAAGCTTTTTTCCATATTTAAGATTATTTCCTTGTGTTAGCGTCACTATAGAGAAATATTAAAGGGGAATGAAGATTTTTTAAAGGCTCTTGAATTTTATTCCCTAGGACTTGTACTAACTTATAGTCTCACTGGGAGTATTCCCATTTTATTGAACTCATTTTAAAACTAATTTTAATTATTTGAAAAATAGGTATGGCATTTTCTTTTAAGTTAGAAGTATTTATTAGGCTAGAAAGATTGAACATTTTCTTATATGTCTGCTAATTAGTTGTATGTCTCTGTGAATTTTGTTTTCATCCCTTTAAGGCACTTGTGTCTATTTAGGAACAAATATGATAAATATAAATATTGATTATCCAGATACTAAAACATCGCGCTTTTAATTACTTGGGGTTTTTGCATTTTTTGACTCCTGGAAGAAAGTGGTAGACTGTGGACTATATGGGTGAAGCTGATAGACATATTGTTGACTCAAAGAAGCCAGACACAAAAGAATACTACTGTTTGCTTCCATTCATATAAATTTCAAGAGCAGGCAAAACTAATCTCTGGTGACAGAGCTCTGAGTAGTAACTCATTGACAGGGGCACTGGTCGGGAGGGGGCAAGTGTTTAGGAGGCTGAAAGTATTCTATGTCTTGATCTGTATGATGGAGATATATATATATATATATATGTATACACACATATACATATATATACATATATACACACATATACATATATATATTACCCTAAGATTAGTACATTTTACTGTCTATATTCCCCTCCCCCCCACTCATCTCTCTCTCTCTCTCTCTCTCTCTCTGTCTCTCTGTCTGTCTGTCTGTCTGTCTCTCTCTCTCTCTCTATATATATATACACATACACATACCTATATGCATGCACTTTTTTTCCTCATAAACTTACTTTTAGAACTTCCATAAATCATCCTAAGGTCAAAACTCTAAGGATCCTACACTTACGTAGCCCAAGGGCTTGGCTGTGCCATGCAGAGTTTGAGGAAGAGGCAGCAGACAGCTTCCTCAAAGTTGTTCCTCCTGGGTGAGAAATTAAGCAACAAAAGGTCTGTTGTGAACACAGAGGGGAAAAAAAGCTAGATTTTCACGAGGCTGTGAACCAGGAAATATTATGAGGGCTGCATAGTTCCAGTGCTCACCGACCACAAACTAGATCTGGAGTAAATGTGAAGTCAGAGCAGACTAGAAAGGGCTGGGAAGAGAGTTGTAGAGCTGGGTGTCATAGACCTGGGTGCCTATGGAAGATCTCAGGTTGGTCTTCCAGGACCTCTCCTGAAAGGAAGCATGGAAGATGCAAATACTCCTCTAGGACATGAGAATGAATGTTTAGAATAATGACCCCCTCGACCCTGCAAGATCCTCCATTAGAGGATCAAAGATTCATTTTGTTAGATTTAGGCAAGGAAAGTAACTTAAATACTTTAGGGGTTTTCGTTGATAAATATTGAAGTCAAGTTTCTGTTTTGTTTTGTTTTAAATTATTTAATTTATTTATTTTTGGCTGCGTTGGGTCTTCATTGCTACGCATGGGCTTTCTCTAGCTGTGGCAAGCGGGTGCTACTCTTCGTTGCGGTACGCGGGCTTCTCTTGTTGCAGGGCATGGGCTCTAGGCGCGGGCTTCAGTAGTTGTGGCTCGTGGGCTCTAGAGCGCAGGCTCAGTAGTTGTGGCGCACAGGCTTCGTTACTCCACGGGATGTGGGATCTTCCCGGACCAGGGCTCGAACCCATGTCTCCTGCATTGGCAGGTGGATTCTTAACCACTGCACCACCAGGGAAGCCCTGAAGTCAAGTTTGACCCAAGAGTTCAGTTTGCCAGAGAGCTGGAAGGCACCCTTCCCTAAACGTTTGGATCTGCAGGATCTGGGTCTATGTTCGACCAGCAAGAGTCTAAATTTGAGCAGCTGCTTTATACTTGGGCCTTCTTGCCTTCATGAGTAAAATGAAGGGTTTGGACCAAATGAGCTCTCAGATTTTTCTCCATCTCTTGCCATTTTATGGTTTTATGCAACACATTCTTGGAGGGTATACAGATACAAGGATATGGTGTGTACGAACTTTTTGTCCCAGGAACAGCAGTGTATTTTATAACTGTGATCCAAGTTGTTCTAAAAGTTCTAGGTAGTAAAGGCAGGGATGAAACAGTCCTGGTTTCCAATGAGCTATTTTTCTGATGGCCTCCAGTTTAACTTGTTGTTGTGGCTTAAAAATAAAAGTTGGAAGGGAGGTTGCAGTTCTTGGCTTTGATGAGAACTGTAGACACTCTCCATAAACAAAAGCAAACATTCACATATTCCAAATTTCATATAAAATTTCAGCCATTCATTGATCCCTAGAGGTCTGTCCACGGAGCCAAGTTAAAAAAACCCTTCAACTTGGTGACGGGTGTTAGAATTTATTCATCTCAGTTTCTATTTACCTCCATTTCTGCTCTGTGTATCCATTATAGGCCAGAAAACAATATTGTTTCAAGATGCACACTGTCAGGTGAGTCTTTAGAGATATTATTTTGTATATACAAATTAAACACTGCTGGTTGAGGGATAAATTACCACATTGTTACTGCGTAATATAAGAATAAGGATCAAAATACTTAAAATCTTTAAGAATTTTGACTTTTGTCCCAATATCCCTTTTTGGGGGAATTTACCTTAAAGATAAACAATTATGGATATGGCCATAATTTTATTTCTTCTCTAAAATTTTGACAAATTGGAAGTAATATATATGTGTAAAAATAATAGATTGGTTAATGAAAGTACGGGGTCTTCATTTGAAAGAATATTATGCAGTGATGAAAAGTCATACCAAAGTCTTTCATATTGCTCTCTTTGGGGTCCCTTTTGTTGGTGACTGGTGGGAAAGGGGACAGAGGTGGAAGAACTGGAGAACATGTACACAGGGCTCTGGACTCCATAAACCTGCTTTAATAAGATGAGCTCCACTCTTCTGTGCTGTAAATATTGTGAGTGTGCATAAGATTTTATTAGGAAAAAAGAAAGGATTTTGTAGCTTAAAAAGATTTTAAAAATACAAAGCAATAGAATATTTCATGATGTGGATAAAATGATATACTGATGTGGTAAAATGATATACTGATAAGTGAAAAGGCAGCTCTTAAAACAGCATTGTGAAATTCTAGCAAACTGAATTCAGCAGCATATCGAAAGAATTATACACCCTGACCAAATGCAATTTATCCCTGGAATTCAAGGATGGTTCAACATACAAAAAATCAATCAATGTCATATAATACATTAACAAAATGAAGGGGAAAAACCTACATGATCATCTCAATTGATGGAGAAAAAGCATTTGACAAAATTCAACATGGTATCATGATTAAAAACACTCCACCAACTAGGAATAAAGGGGAACTTTCTCAACATAATGAAGGCTATGTAGAAAAATCCCACAGCTAACATTATACTTAATGGTGAAAGACTGAAATCTTTTCTGTGAATATTAGGAATAAACAAGGGTGCCTGCTTTCACCACTTCTTTTTTAACATAGTACTGGAAGTTTTAGCCAGAGCAATTAGGCAAGAAAAAGGAAAAAAGTATTCAGATTGGAAAAGAAGTAGTAAAATTATCTGTGATTGCAGATGATGTGATCTTACATGTAGAAAACCCTAAAGATTCCACCCAAAAAACCCTATTAGAGCTGATAAACAAATTCAGTGAAGTGGCAGGATACAAGGTCAACATAAAAATCAGTAGCATTTTTATATACTAGCAATGAACAATCTGAAAAGGAAGTTAAAAAAAACAATTTCATTTACAATAGTATCAAAAAGAATAAAATAGTTCAGAATAAATTTAACCACGGAGATGAAAGACTTATACACCGAAAACCACAAAATGTTGCTGAAAGAAATTAAAGACTTAAATAGAAAGACAGCCATTGTTCATGGGCTGGAAGACTTAATCTTGTTAAGATGACAATACTACCCAAAGCAGTCTACACATTCCCTATCAAAATTCAATAGTTTTTTTTGCAGAGATAGAAAAGTTTATTCTAATATTCATACAGAATCTCAAGAGGGACCTTGAGTAGCCAAAACAATCTTAAAAAAGAACAAAGTTGGAGGACTCACACTTCCTGATTTCAAAGATTACTGCAGAGCTACCATAATCAAAACAGTGTGGTACTGGCATGAAGACAGACATATAGATCAATGGACTAGAATAGAGAGTCCAGAAATGAGCCCTCACATCTATGGTTAATTGATTTTCAGCAGAGGTGTCAAGACCATTAAATGGGAAAAGGACAGTCTTTTCAACAAATAGTGCTGCAAAACTGGCTATCCACATGCAAAAGGATGAAGTGGGACCTTATCTTATACC